AGTCGAGAATTGTACAAGCTGTGGACCACATAAGGCGTAGTGGTGAGCTGTGGTGACGTCTGTAAGTCATAGTGGCCAAAATCAGTAGCTACAGAAAGTTGTGGACCATGCATGTCATAATTGGTCACATAAGTCGAGGGTGTAGACTGTGATGACGCTCTTATGTCGTAAGGGCTAGAGTCTAGAGTTGCACGGGCTGTGAGCTTCTTAGGCTGTAGTTGGTCACATATGCCATAATGATAAGCTTTGATGATGTCCGTAGACCAAGAGGGTCAGGGTTGGGAACAAAGCAAGTTGTGGACCACATGAGTCATAGTTGGTCATACAGGCCTTAGTGGCGAGCTATGTTAACGCTTGTAGGCTGCAAAGGTCGGAGACAAGATTTGCATGAGTTGTGGATCATATAAGCCACATTTAGTTACATAGGCCATGACTGTGAGTTGTGATGATGTATGAGGCCGCATGGGTCATTGTCGGGGGCGGCATGTTTAGAAGACCAGAGAAAGTCACTGTCTTTGTGGTTTATTGTTACACCATCCTTGAAATGCATCATTAAACCGTATGTGGGGTGTGTTGTTAAATCTTATGTCTTTTGCCAGCTACTTTCAACTTATTTTATCTATGTGTTTATGGAATTTTGTATAATACAAAGATGATAAACTTTCTCCATAATCATGAATGTTCTTGTGCACAATAATTTTACACTATGTATGATAAATAATCCTAGATTGGATAAATCTTCATTAAAATTTTAGAAGGCGTCTAAGATGGGTGCATCGTAAAAATATTACAATTTTTTAGATAAGGAATTAAATATTATTAGTCAAAATAATATGTGCATTGTGTTAGCTTATTGTCAATATACCACTTAGAAAGACAACCTAAACTGCTAGTAATGTGCTATATTATTACAAAATTTGGACATACTTTTTATTACAAGTCATGTAAAAAAGCTTAAGAACATCAATAAACCCTCAAATGCATATAAATTTGTTATAATATTATTATAAGAAAAGAAAACATTGGATGTTTCATATAATGTCAAGTTGGAAATTAATCAAGCTAAGCATCAAAATTTGACTGTAAACCATGTAGAGAGTCAAACAAACTCTCCTAATACTCAGCGACATCATCCTTGATCATCTGTGATGAATCAACAAAGCCAACGACCACAAATTTCATCAGAGTCCATCAATGAGGACCAATAACACATAGGCAAGAAGGTAAAAGGCTATGAAAGAAAAGAAGCAAAGAAAAGTGCTTCTATCGCTATTGACACCCCTTTTATAGGGTGAAAGTGAATCCCAAACATTGCGAGGATACCAAAATTGGAAATCTCCGAAAAATTATATGACAAAAAGAGCATGGAAACTGAAAATTTTATTTCATTAATCATAAAAATGATACAATAAGCTTTTCGAAATGATTTTGCCCGATTAAAAAAAATAGCTAATGAAATGGTCTGACGCAAATTTTTGTGACACATGACCCAATTGAAGTAGCTGCTCAAATAAAAATTCTGCCAAGACTTGAACTGATCTAACTTGTTGGGCTCAAGTTTAAGCTTGAGAAGTACGTAGCACGTCATGCCGATTCATGAGTTCTCGATGAAGGCCAGCCGTCATTTGCTTCATCACATCGATCTCCTCCTCCAATCTCGCCATGCTAGACGTTGAGCAGCTTGCCTCCAAACCTTGTCGAAGACCAACCTCACATGCTTGTATTATTCTTTTCTAGCCGGCTAACATAGCAGAAGGTTGCCATTTGGAATGGCTTCATTCAATCACTTCTTCCTTATTTTTTGAGGGGTATTGAAAAGGATCGAGTAATCAATTTGTCCAAAATCCCCATTTCCAACTACATCTCCAAGACTTTAGCTCCAGAGTCCACACATTGGTAGCAATCACACCCATGAACATCAAATCAAACTTTTCTTACAATTATTACTTGGGATTTATGCCCCAATGTCAACATTTTTTTGTTATTTGGGACTACCTATTATTCAAAATTGAATTTTTGAGATGTTGCACATATACATTCCAGTTAATGAAGCAATACTATAAGAATTTGTAAGTACATTATTGATTTGCAATTTTTCTTTTCATCATTCATTAAGTGTAACAATCATTTTCTTTATGGAATCCCAATTAGGGCTGGCAAAACGGCTTGTTGTTCTCGAACAACTCGTGTTCGACTCGTTAAGAAGCTCATATTCGCCTCGTTATTTTTGTTAAAGTTCGACTCGTTAAGAAGCTCATATTCGCCTCGTTAATTTCGTTAAAATAAGTTAACGAGCCAAACACGAACAAAGATGTGTTTGTTCGTGTTCGGCTCGTTTTGGCTCGAAATACTACTCATCAAGTATATATATATATACATATAAATGTAGTATTTTAAAAAAATCTAATTGACTACAAGGCTACAATGATTTATAATTAATTAAAATATTGATTAAGAAAATAGAATAAAAATTCTTAAATTAGATTCAAATGATGTTTTAATATAAATAATAATTTTTAAATTTTGCTCAAACCCTTATCGTCTTATGACTACGTGATTAGGGCTGTTAAAAGGACTCTTTGTTCGTGAACAGCTCGTGTTCGGCTCCTTAAGCAAACGAGCCGAACACGAACACACCTTTTGTGCTCGAAATATAAACGAGCCTCGTGTTCGGCTCACTTATACCCCTAATCCCAATATAATTAAATTTCACATAAACATATACCACCAAAAATATTATTTGCATTCCACTCCCAAGTTGCAATTACTCCCCCCATCTATTGCCTTTTCCATTTTTATAACATTCTAGTTATATTGAAAGGGCACACTTAAATTGGAGGAGTAAGAAAATGTCAAGTAAACCATATGAATATTATGAATTAATATTTAATGAACGAAAAGTGAGATATGGATGACAATGAAGGTAGCTATAGTATTATGGACAATAATAAATTGAAATCAAATATAAATATTTTACTTATGTGTTAAGTTGTTTATATGAATTACATGATTTTTTGACAAAATTTTGTTTTAGATCATTACTTGCATATTGATTTTTTAATTTAATTATACAATTATATTTTGCTAAATTCGATCTACGAACATAATATTCTCTCTGAATAAGGGGAGAGATGGGGGACATGACATGAATACCATCGCCTAGATACATATTCATTTAGAGATGCTTCTGGGCTCCGTTGTGCTCCGCAAAAAAGACGATGAAATGTGTGACATTCGTTTGGATGTTCGATTTCTCCAAAAAAAAATCTTTCAACGCAATTGTATTTTTCTCCATTTCGTATTGTGGATGCAATGCCCCGCTTTGTTGTCTGTCACTGTGTTCCTCAGTTTTGCTACCTTGCGTCGACACTACTTGAGTCATCTGTGGTAGAAATGTCGCATATAAACTTTTTATCCAAATGATGTATTAATTTTTGGCCGTGTTTGATGACATATTATTTATAAAATTAGGTATGGTTATAGCTTAAATCCACCCAAAGATAAAAAATCAACAAGTCTAATGCTCCGTTAAATCCATTTCTCTCGCATTCGGTCTTTCCTTAGCCATTCGCTATCATTTCTATGATGTTAATCCAGATTTAATAAATTCTATTTAATATAAAAAAAAAAATTGAAGCCAAACCACATCTTAGAAAACATGTTATTTATCTTTATTTCTCCTAAAATTATTTTTAAACTCATTTTTATGAAAGGGATGGTCCCAAACAGAATAACAAAAAGGAGTGAACACAGTGACTGCTCTCGGATTCTGAGCGTATAGTGTGTCACAGTGTTGCATGAAGTCGTCCCAAATGAGACTTTTAAGTGTGTCACAGTGTTGCATGAAGTCGTCCCAAATGGGACATCACGAAAAGATATTATATCAGGACGAGGTTTATTCGACCATTTATAGATAAACAAATTATTATGTGCAAACTTTACACATATAAATTTTATTATAATTTAATTGTATTAGTTATGTACAGCCTAAGTAAAACAAAATCGCATGTTATACGGAGAGCTACTACAATGTACCAAAAGCAACTAAAAAAATTTATTTTGGATTAATCTCTCCCCACCACGCACGTGGCCTTTGACCGTTAGACCGTGTGACTGTCAACCCATCTCCAAAATTAAAACCCTAATCCTCCTTCACTTCCCCTCCGGCGGGAGCCACTCTAGTGAGGTTGAACTCGGGAGACAGATTCCTTGGCCTCGCCGGCAAAAGGCTGATGGAGAACCTCGCCGCACATGAATCGCTCTTAAACCCTAAGACACAAAACCATCACTCCTACTCCTTCGACTCTCCCCACCCCGTCTATGCCATGGCCTTCTCCACCTCCTCCCCTTCCCCGTGCCTCGCTCTCGGTAGCTTCATCGAGGAAATAAATAACCGCGTCGACATCGTTTCTTTTGACGAAGAGACTCTCACCTTCCGATCCGACCCTCAGCTCTCCTTCGAGCACCAGTACCCTCCCACCAAGCTCATGTTCCATCCCAAGCCGCTCCCCGGCCAACCCCATTCCCTCCTCGCTTCCTCCGGCGAACTCCTCCGCCTCTGGCGCGTCAAGGAATCCGCCACCGAGCTCTGCTCCGTCTTCAACACCAGCAAGTCCACCGAGTTCTGCTCCCCCCTCACCTCCTTTGATTGGAACCAGGCGGAACCCCGCCGCATTGGAACTTCCAGCATCGACACCACGTGCACTGTTTGGGATATCGAGCGCTGTGTTGTGGAGACGCAGCTCATTGCCCACGATAAGGAAGTTTATGACATCGCCTGGGGTGGAGCTTCTGTCTTTGCATCCGTCTCAGCCGACGGATCTGTCAGAATCTTTGATCTCAGGGATAAAGAACACTCTGCGATTGTCTACGAGTGTCCCAGACCCGATACTTCTCTCCTCCGCCTAGCCTGGAACAAGATGGATGTCAGATACATGGCTACCATCCTTATGGACAGTAACCGGGTGGTTGTCATTGACATTCGCTCTCCGGCTCTGCCAGTGGCCGAGTTGCAGAAGCACGGGGCAAGTGTAAATGCGATTGATTGGGCGCCGCAGACAGCTCGCCATCTATGCTCTGCAGGGGACGATGGGCAGGTTTTCATTTGGGAGATTCCGACAACTGTGCCGCCTGAAGGGGTTGATCCTTTGCTCGCATACCAGGCTGCTGCGGAGATAAACCAGATGCAATGGTCTGCTGCTCATCGGGATTGGATTGGGGTTGCTTTCTCGAACAAGGTGCAGTTGCTTAGGGTTTGAGAACAAGGTATGCAGATACTTACCTTCATTCAGAATTGCTTTTGTATGATATGTGAATTTCTTTGAAGTTTCTTGATCTGTTTTATACCCTGCTTTGTAGCAAGATGTTTACGAATTGGTTTAGGACAATTTGATGTTTTATTTCTGGTTACTTTTGATACGCCACCAACAAATTTTAATCATCCTGCACGAATCTCAATAAAAAATCATCCGGAACTTCGATTTCAGCAAACTTATAGTCAAACTGACCGAGTTGATGAGACAGATCTAATGATATCAAAGTTAGTCCAAACCGAGTCAAATCAAGCACAAATTAAGTGATTAAACTAGTTTTGAAAGATTTTCAGACACCTTTGAAAAGTCAAACGAATGTTGAATTCAGCGAGTTTATAGTTGAGTCGAGGTCTCGACAAGACGAATCCAACAAGACTAAGATTGCTCAATTCCGACATTGTTAAGACACTCAAATATCCATCAAACGTCATCTGATCGAGGAAAGCTCTCCGGACCGTCTGATCAAAATGGTTCATATTTCTGCATTAATTGCACCCATAACACTATAAATAGAGTCCCACCTACATGGGGAGGAGGCTTGAGAGAGAACTTAAGACTTTGAGAAAGAGTTCAAGTTCAAAATCATCACTGCTATCATTGATCGTCGTCAACCACAACTGACCGAGGCTTGAGAGAGAACTTAAGGCTTTGAGAAAGAGTTCAAGTTCAACATCATCACTGCTATCATTGATTGTCGTCAACCACAACTGACCGTCAGCGACCACCGCCCACCTGTCATCCACGGCCAGCCGCCGTCGACTACTGTCGACCATCATCGACCACCGCTGACCATCATCGACCATCGCCAACCGTCATCAACCACAACCAACCGCCGTCCGTCATCAACCACCGTCGGCCTCCATCAACCACCGCTCGCCGTCGTCAACCACCGTTGACTTCCATGGAGACATTCTATTGTCGACCACCATTAATCATCATCAATCACCACCAACCAGACGCCGTCAGCTAACACAATAATCTGAAAATCTAGTAACTCTTTCTCATCCGTGGGACAAGGGATTTCTGTAATCATCATTCAATAGTGGATTTTCGCAATTGGGTCAGACCCCGTGGTTATTCCATTTTCCTGCATTGACCAATATCGTCCTGGTGAAAAAAACTAGTAGTTCATGAAGAGTGTGTGTCGACTATACAGATCTCAACAAAACTTGTCTGAAGGATAGTTTCCCTCCCTCGCATAGATCAGCTTGTTCATGCAACTTCCAGACATCAGATGCTAAGTTTTATGGATGCATACTTAGGGTACAATCAAATAAAGATGAACCCAATGGACGAGGAGATCACATCTTTTCAAACAGATAATGACTTATATTGTTATCAGGTTGTCATTCATGTTATCGGGTTAAAAATGCTGGTACAACTTATCAATGACTCATGAAGAAGGTCTTCAAAAACTTTCTTGGGCGTACAATGGAGGTTTATGTTGATGACATGTTAATAAAAAAAACCTGCAAGCATCTCAACATATTTCTCATCTAGAGAAGTATTTCCAACTTTTTCGTCAATACGATTTACTACTTAACTCGACTAAATGTGTTTTCGAAGTCACATCAGAGAAGTTTCTGGGATTCATGGTTACCCATCGTGGAATTGAAGTAAACCCAGAAAAAATCAAGGCGCTGAGGGACATGATGCCTCTAAAAAACATCAATGAGGTACAACGGTTGAATGGTCGTATAGTCGCTTTATCCCGTTTCTTGGCTCGTTCTAGGGATAAGTAAAAAGTCTGGAAGCATCCCAACACATTTCTCATCTGAAGAAGTGTTTCTAACTTCTTCGTCAATACGATTAATACGATTTATGACTTAACCCGACTAAATGTGTTTTCGAAGTCACATCAAGAAAGTTTCTGGGATTCATGGTTACTCATCGTGGAATTGAAGTAAACCCAGAAAAAATCAAGGCACTGAGGGACATTATGCCTCCAAAAAACATCAAAAAGGTACAACAGTTGAATGATCGTATAGCCGCTTTATCCCGCTTCTTGGCTCGTTCTGGGGATAAGTATCTGTCGTTATTCATGATACTCAGAGGTGCTCGGAACACCGAATTTCAGTGGACAGATGATTGTCAGATTGTTTTCGAGCAACTCAAGACATATTTGGTTTCACCGCCCCTCCTCTCAATGCCCATCCAAGTAGAGATGTTATATATTTATTTGGCTATTTCGCCACATGCAATAAGCTCTGTTCTTATCAGAATAAAAAACGCAGTTGAGAAACCAGTATACTACGTTAGCAAGATTCTCTCTGGTACAGAAAGTTGTTATTCGATGGCGGACAAGACTGTGTTAGCCCTGATATTCTCAGCAAGGAGACTTCGTTCGTACTTCCAGGCTCACACTATCAATATCTACACGCAACTCCCTTTGAAGACTATCCTACATAAACTAGAAGTATAAAAAAGATTAGTTAAATGATCAGTAAAATTGAGAGAATTCGACATCCGCTATTTACCACGACCAAACATCAAATCACAGGTGTTGGCCGATATTCTGGTAGAATGTACAGTGCCTACCTCTGATGAACCACCCTTTTCTCTTCCACGGTCATCTCAATGGACACTATACTTAGACAGAGTATTCAGAATCTCAAGAGCTGGTGCAGGAATACTACTTATCTTCTTAAAGTAAAACATTTGGGAGTACAGACTTCATTTGAAATTCCCACTCATCAATAATGTTGCCGAATATGAAGCACTTGTCGTCGGATTAAAGTTTGTCATCGACTGTGAAGTACGAAACATGATTATCTATAATGATTCTCAACTCATCGCATTCCATGTAGAAGGAGAATTCGACGCTCATAACTTACAACTGGTGCAGTATCTCAGTCTGGTAGAAACACTTATTGCGTAAATTGAAACATGTCAGCTCATTCACATACTTTGGGAGCATAACACTCAAGCTGGTGCCCTCTCCAAGCTTGCAGCTTCAACAACTGGAGATCTCTATAAAAGATATATTGAGGAGATACATTTTCCTAGCATTCATGACCCATAGGTGATACTATCTATAGATGACTCAAGAGAGTCATCTTGGATGGATCCCATCATCTCCTTCCTCCGAGATGGAATACTGTCAGATGATGCTACTACATTAATTCACATCCGGCACATGACTGCCAACTTCATTCTTATAGGGGATGAACTGTATAAGAAGACATTTGTAAGTTCATATCTCAAGTGTCTTGCTTCATTTGAAGCTGATTATGCTCCACGAGAAGTTCATTCCGGAATATGTGGGGAGCATCTTGGCGGCAGGACACTTGCTTTTAAAATAATGAGATAATGTTTCTACTGGCCCACAATTAAGCAAGACACGTTAGAGTTTATACAAAAATACAAGAGTTGTCAACTACATTCCTATCTTATGATGCGCCGCCGGTATAACTCACATCATTTCTGAGTCCTTGGCCTTTCAACCAATGAAGGGTAGATATTATGAAACCATTTCCAATAGCTACCAGACAATGAAAATTCATCATCTTATCTGTCGACTACTTCACCAAATGGGTAGAAGCAGAGCCGCTCGCCAAGATCAGTGAAACAAATGCCAAACGATTTTTCTGGAAAAATATCATCTATCGCTTTCGGCTCCCCGTAAAGATTATCACTGATATTAAGACTCAATTCACTGGAAGGGTCTTCACATTATTCTGCAAGAATCTTCACATGCAGTTGGTGTACACTTCCGTGGCGCATCCCCAAACAAATGGACAAACATAAATGACAAATCAGACGTTGCTTAAGGGGTTGAAGACTCGTCTTGAGAAGACTTCAAATGCCAAACGATTTGTCTGGAAAAATATCATCTATCGCTTTCGGCTCCCCGTAAAGATTATCACTGATAGTAAGACTCAATTCACTGGAAGGGTCTTCACATTATTCTGCAAGAATCTTCACATGCAGTTGGTGTACACTTCCGTGGCGCATCCCCAAACAAATGGACAAACATAAATGACAAATCAGACGTTGCTTAAGGGGTTGAAGACTCGTCTTGAGAAGACTGGGGGCAATGGGTAGAAGAGCTGCACAACGTCCTTTGGACCTATCACACTACCGCGCAAACTCCAACGGGGGAAACTCCATATAACTTGTGTTTCGACACTAAGGCTGTTATCCCAGTTGATATTGCAGTTTCAAACTCGAGAGTTAAGACTTTCGTCTCAGATAGCAACGAGGAAAAGCTCCAACAACATTTGGATTTTCTCCCAGAAACACGCGATGTGACCCATCTTAGAGCTGCTTCCTACCGCCAAAGAGTTGCTCGCCACTTCAACCGGAGAGTCAAGCCTTGACCTATCTTCGTCGGTGACTTGGTCTTACGCTCCTCATCGCAATAAACTATCACCTCTCTGGGAAGTCCCATATATCGTGGCTGTCATGATCAAGTCTAAAACCTTCAAGCTCAAAGATTCAGATGGAAAAATCCTGCCCCGGACTTGGAATGCATAAAATATTCGCAAGTACTATCAGTAACACCTCAGTCATGTGGTCCACATGTGTTATTACACCGCAGCTCATACATGATCAATGAATCCCAAATATTATTCACTTACTCTCCTTTATATAAAGGATATCTTTAGAAAGTATAATGACTTATTCACGAGTCACTTTATGCTCTCCCTCGACGCGAGAAATACACAACTCTGGTTGTATCTTAGTCGGAGCATGATCAATCACAGGGGGATTTGATCTATCATCTTCCATATGGGTTAACATCGTCGAGTTTTTACTCTGGTAAACAACTATGGATAGGTTAACAGTCCTTGGTGGACTACACCTGACCCATTCCACATAAGTTCGTAAGCGAGCAATGCTCCAACAAACACCCTTGAATGAGTTAATAAGTCATCAGTGGACTTCTGTTGGCTCCTCTTATACAGGCTGACATCATTGAGTAACACTATGATGCATAACCTCGGCCAAGTTAAAGACCATTGGCGATTTATCCCCACTACAACCTTCTTACATGCTAAAATTTCTAAATGACATTGGATATCCACCGTGTCATTAAAAAAATAAATAAATAAAATGCATGAATCCTCCGCCGTTGTCTACTTTGAGGACACTCTAGTATACAATCACTCGGAGGAGGATCACTTGCATCACCTAAAGACAATATTCGAGGTACTGCGAGCTAATCAACTATATGACCATATGAAGAAATGTCATTTCATGACAAACTAGATATGCTTTCTAGGTTACGTCATATCTGGGGCAGACATTCAGATGGATCCTGTAAAGATAGAGGCCATTATCAGCTGGACTGCCCCACAATCGTTCACCGAGTTCTCTTATGATCGAACTTTTGAAGGAGTTTGCTTTGATAGTAGCAACTCGGGACAATTTTGACACACTAAAAGAAAAGGTGACGCAGACACCCGTGCTGGCACTACCAGACTTTAACCAACTTGTTGAAGTAGAGTGTGATGCCTCCGACGTAGGGATCAGAGCAATCTTGCGCCAGGGAGGATACCCCATAACCTTCTTCAGTGAGAAGCTGAATGAGTTCAGGATAAAATATTCGACATACAACAAGGAATTCTATGCCATTGTTAGGGTCCTAGAGCACTAGAGACATTACCTATTAGCGAATGATTTCACACTACTCACTTATCATGATGCCTTAAAATTCCTCAATAACCAGAACAAACTGAAGGGCTAACACGCCGCTTGGGTATAATTTGTAGTTTCATATCTGTTTGTGTTAAAACACATGACGGGAAGCAAGAACCGCATAATCAATGCACTTAGTCATCGACATCTATTGAAATAAACAAATATTTCAAAGACGAACATTTCAAAGGCTCGAGTTGTGGGCTTCAAGGTCATAAGGGATCTATATGAAATAGACGAAAACTTCAAAGACATGTGAGCTACGTCAGATGCAGCTAACAGGGCAATATTACTGAATAGATGAATACTTGTTCCGCCAGAGTCAGTTATGCATTCCTCAGTGTTCACTAAGAGAAGTCATTGTACAGGAGAGCGACAACGAAGGATTAGCAGGTCACTTCGACATGGACAAGAGCCTCACCCTCGTAATGGAGCATTTTTTGGCCCAAACTGACGAAACATGTGGAGCGACATGCCGGCAGTGTAAGATTTGTCACCTGACAAAGCCAAGGACTCAGAATGCAGGATTGCAACTTCACTTCCAGTACCAGAGGCACCATTGGTCGATGTCAGCATGAATTTCGTGGTGGGACTCCCTAGGACCCAAAGGAATAAGGACTTCGTTATGGTTGTGGTAGATAGGTTCTTTAAGTGGGCCCACTTTATACCCTGTCACCGGACATTAGATGCCTCTCACATTGTCAATCTATAATTCAAAAAAATTGTACGGTTGCACGAAATTCTGAAGGCCATCACCTCTGACAAAGATGTCAAATTCCTGAGTCACTTTTGTGGGGAAAACATGAAACCAAATTCCAATTCAGCTCAGCGGCCCATCCACAGACAGAGGTAGTAAACTAGAGCCTCGGTACTCTCCTGAGGTGTTTCATGGGAAAAAAATAAAAAATAGTGAGATTTTCTTCTAGCCCAAGCTGAGTTCTCCTATAATCGATCTATCAGTCAAACTACTGGACGAACTCCCTTCGAGATTGTGTACGGACACAATCCGCTCGCGCCACTAGAATTGGTGCAACTCATGCCATTTTCGTAAAGCAGTAAGGATGTCGCAGAACGAGTTCACGAGATTCAATAGATCCATGAAGAAGTTAGCAAGGAGATTGCTAAGTAGAATCACAAATATCAGGCACAGACAAATAACCCTAGGAAGAAAGTAACATTTTATGAAGACGACCTCATATGGATTCAGTTTAAAAAGGGAAGATTTTCTGTCTGATCATTCGTGAAGCTTAAGCCGAGAGTATATGGATCTTTCAAAGTACTTTAGAGGTTGAACGACAACGCCTATAAGATTGAATTGACTGGGAATTGCAACATTGCAACCACGTTCAATATCACTGATTTGACACCATACTTTGAAGGCCTAGAGCTTCGACAAATGAAGTTGACGCATGAAGAAGTTAGCAAGGAGATTGCTAAGTAGAATCACAAATATCAGGCACAGACAAATAACCCTAGGAAGAAAGTAACATTTTATGAAGACGACCTCATATGGATTCAGTTTAAAAAGGGAAGATTTTCTGTCTGATCATTCGTGAAGCTTAAGCCGAGAGTATATGGATCTTTCAAAGTACTTTAGAGGTTGAACGACAACGCCTATAAGATTGAATTGACTGGGAATTGCAACATTGCAGCCACGTTCAATATCACTGATTTGACATCATATTTGAAGGCCTAGAGCTTCGACAAATGAAGTTGACATGAGAGCTAAAACAACGCTTAGGTGTGGGCGCTAAAACAGTGCCCGGTTGCGTGTGCTGAAGGCGCCCAAAAGTGAGGCGCTTCGATCCCGCGGGGCCGAATTCTCCCGTGAAGCATCACGATGGAAGAAGCATAGTGTAAGCGGGACTGGGATCGCAAATTCTCGCGAAGGTGGGAAGAGGCATGAACTATCGCTATCTAGGGAAGCTTCGCAGGCTGCTGCAGTGTTTTCTGGCTTCTTCTTACTTTACCCCATTTTCTTGAGAGTCTAAAAACTGTTGTCCTCTGTGTGTGGGTGGGTCACTACTGCTGTGTTGTATTCAGATTTCCTTTGTGGAGTCCTCTTCCCCTTGTTAGAGTTGTATCCGACAACAGTTGGTGCTTCGACTGTATCCTGCTCCGAGGTGGTGTTATATCCTCCATATATCCTCCTCTTCTTCTCCCCGACCCTCCTCCCTAACTGCCATCCACCCCAACTCCCTCTACACCCATACTGTCTAGATCATCTACAACCCACCAAACACCACCTCAACATACCCAAACAGTCACCCGACCCTACCACTCCGCCACCACCACCACCACCGCCGCCTTCGAATATCTTCCTACAACCCTAACTGGAAGTTAGTCTGTTGTCGTAATCCCTTTTCCGTTTGAGTCTTGTTGTAATCGTATTATTTTATATTAACAAAACTTTGCTTTTTGTGCACCGCTAAATTTTAATTATTTTTGTTATCAGTGAGAGATTGGATTTTGTATTGAGCTCTTGCTAGGTTCTGGGCCTGTATCCAAGGCACCCTACAGAATGACAATTAAGGAGTTGCAGGAATTGAAGAGTCAACTGCAGAATTTACTGGATTAGGGGTTCATCAGACCGAACAACTCACCATGGGGAGCTTCATTATTATTTGCGAAGAAGAATAAGAGGAACAAAGGGTTGTGTGTATGTCTTACCAATTTCAGCGTCACCCTAACTACTCATGTGTAGAGGAAAGAGGAAACGAGATTGTCAAGGACTCACAGTGTTGGGTGAGCCGCAACCGAAGCCAGGAAGAACAAGAAGAGGAGCAGTGTGCGTATCCTATTGGGTCGAGCCGAGGCCAAAGGAGGAGGAGAAAGCACTCTCCGACGCTGTGCTCGCATAGAAGAGGAGGAAGATGAGTCATGGTCTTTGTGTGCATCAGGGTTATTGAGAGCCGTGTGAAGGTAAAAAGAGAGGAAAAGGGATTTGTGGTGCGCTCGCGCAGAGGAAGGAGGCTGCGGGTTTCATCTTTGCGTGCAATGAGGGAGCTTGTGCGTGAGGTTTGGGTCGTCGAAGTTATAAAAAGGTATATTTGAGATTTTTATAAGTTAATTAATTTATTATTATATAAATAAATTTATGTATATATTGTGTTTGGGTGTATTTAATAATAGTATTATTAGCAAGTTCTATTGTATTCAGGATTCTAACAATTAATTATTTCAAATTCAAGGGAAAGGTTAAAGGAGCATGCCAGTGAGAGAGGAGATTGTTTCGAGAACTTATAAGGCTAATCTTCTTATTTAAATTAATCAAATTAACTGAGTATATTTAATGATATTATTAGTAAAATTTTTAATAATTTTATTAGTAAATTTTATTGAAATTGACACTAATGTTAAGTGATTGCAGATTCTAAGGAGAAATTGGAGGACCTGCCAGTTAGGGGGAGGACTGATCCGAACAACTTGTAATATAAATATTAATATTAAAATTAAGCAAATTATCCAAATGTTATATATATATATATATAATGTTAAAATAAAGTTGACTTGAATCAGGAAATACTTGAGGTTGGGGAGTTATAATTTTGAATTTGAGGGGAGAAAGAGGTGTCTTATGCAAGAAACAAACCAGACATTTTAAGGTAAGGAATAGTATGTTAATTTTTATGTGTTAATTTAATGATATGCAGATAGATATATTTAAGTTTCCTTTAGAAGAGATTGTTATAATAATTTGCACATATAATTAATATAGGTGGTTGTCCAAAGAAGTTAGTGGGGGAAAAGTATTACAAAAATTTCTTGTAAACAAAAGTGAGTGAATATTTATTATCATCAAATTACTGTTTTAATAAATGAATAATTGCTTTATTAAATAATTTAAAATAAGTTTTTCAGTTATACTTTGCATATTGAAATTCTGAAATGACATAACAATGAGAGGAAAATAACTTACATATAATGGTAATTTAAAAGACTTTAATTGATATGAAATGTCAAGTAAAAGATTAAGTCATACAGATTTACCTCCAGATTATGCTGGCAGGGGATGCAATATACTTATGCACATTAAAGAAAATTGTAGATGTGTACTTTCAGGTATAATTTAATGGTACTTTTGGGTACAATTTGAGGGTACATTCGAGTAAAATTTTGAGGTGTCTTCAGACTCATTTTTTAGGATACATTCGGGCATGACAGTAATTTTGTGATGATTATTAAATTCTTTCAAGTGGTAAATACTTAAAGTGGAATGGAAGAGATAAAATTAAAGTGAAAGTTCAAGAATTTATAATGAAATAAATTGTATATTCTTTGAGTCATTCATGCATAACATAAACATCGTAATTTAATGCATATTAGATCATAATTCTCACTAAGTCATATTTACAGTTACAATTAATGCTTTCTTTTAGGAGAAGAAAAACTTTAGGTTGATATGTCTGGTAGGAGAAATTTGGTTTACAGGAGGAGGACTGTAGTTGATAGAATATGTCTGGTAGGAGAAATTTGGTTTACAGGAGGACTGTAGTTGATAGGAGATATTAGTTTATGATGTGATTTTAGTTTTCTTTTGTTTACTTCTATATGGAGACAATTTATATGTTGATTTGAGATTGTTATCTTTAGAAGATGTTATTGTTAGGGCTGTGAAATTGGCTTGAAGATCCTAAATCGCTCGAAAATCAGATCGAATTTTTGCTCAGATCAAAATCAGATTTAGACATTCGAGTCGAGCTACGAGCTAAATTAAAGGATCGAATTTATTTCGATCCAATTTCAATCCATCCTCGGCTCGGATCAGAATCAAAATAAATTCTTATGTATTTACATATTCAACACCTAAACTTTTACTTTTACATGTATAACACATTGCCAGCTCGGGTGGTGAGGAATTTTTTGGTTGAGTGGAGTGGCAAGGCTTCGAATCTCCTCCTTTCACAAAAAAATTGCATTTTTGATGGTGAGTTGGTCGGACGGGCTAAGGCAGGTTCGAGCCGGATTGATTTGGCTCACGAGCCAAAAATGGCATTCAAACCGACTCATTTACAATTCAATTTGGCTCGAAAATTGGATTTACCCACACCAGATCAGATTAAATTTAGTAGGATCGATCCACGATCCGATTTCGATCTGGTTATAAAAATTTTGATCCGATTTCGATTGACCCACACCAGATCAGATTGAAATTTAGTAGGATCGATCCACGATCGAATTTCAATCTGGCTAAAAAAAATTTATCCGATTTCTAGCTGGCCTGGATTGGCTCAAAATCAGATTGTTCACACCCCTAGTTGTTTTTGGATGTTTAAATTTTATTGCACTTTGTGGTTTAGTGGCTCTTTTATATATATTGGAAGTTCCTAAAATATATTTGTGAAAAACTAAAATGAAATTTTAATATTATTTGACCGTAGTTCTCGCCTTTGTTAATTTTAAGCATCAGGCCGTGTCGTGATAGTGGTGGACCCGTAACATGAGAAATTGAAAATACTTTATTATGACGTGCATAAATAAATAAAATTGGGTATTAGACGCACAATCCATTTTAGTAAGGTTGTTTGAGAGAATATTATGAAAATTTTTAATAAGAGTACATGTATGACATTTATATCGTGCATAACTAAATAATAAATGAGATCAATTGAAGAAGGAGTTGAAGTTATGGAAAGATTTAATATGACATAGGACTGAAATATGATGAAATCGATTGAAAAATATAAAATAAACTTCAAATGTATATATTTTTTAAGTACTTCAAATAAAATTTCCACTATTATGTAACAAGATTATAATTTCTTTCTAAGTTGTTATAGGCTAATCCTGTTGTGAAGAAAATTCGTTATAGTGGAATAATGTCAGAGTTGGAAGAGAAATTAGACATAATATTTGGTCGTATTGTAGTGACTGATGAGAATGTTTGGCTGTTAAGCTCGAGTATTCTACCTTCTGAACTAAAATTTAGGATGATTGATTCATTATCTGATGATGAAAGTCATGATGAAGAGCTCAATATTACAAATGCTGTTGGGTTTGAAGGTTTGACCGAAATTGGCACAAAAATATCAGATAAGCCCGCCCCATCCCATCGTACGAAGCTAAAATATAAAAAAATTAAGTTGGTAGAAATTTTCTCTTATATAATATGGATGCATTCTTGCATACTTCCTAGGGATGACAAAAATTAACCCGAGACACCTACTTGACCTAAACTCGACTAAAAAAATTTGGGTTTGGGTTGACACCAATAATTTTTTGGGTCGGGTTCGGGTGAAAGATCCTAATTCGTTTAATTTTTTAGGTCAGGTTTTAAATACAAAGAGAATAAAGAGGATCTGCATATGATTTTTTATTGATTTAGAAAAAGCTTGCGATGAGGTTCCAAGAGAAATTCTTTGAAGAGTTATAGAGAAGCAATGTGTTGATATGACTTATATTTAAGTCCTTGAAGATATGTATACTAGAGCTGTTACTTGCGTTCGAACATAAGGAGGATTAACCGAGTATTTTTATATTTTAGTTGGATTATATCATAGATCGGTTTTAAACCCATATTTTTTTTGTTTTAGTTATGAGATGCTCTTATTGGACATTTATAGGAGGACGTGACTTGGTTTATGTTTTTCATTGATGATATCCTTCTTGTGGATAAGACTAGAGAAATAGTTTTGGAAAAACTTGAATTATGGAGGCCTACATTAGAGTATAAAAGCTTTTGTTTGAGTAGAACTAAAATTGAATACATAGAATGTAATTTTAAGAGTAGTAGCTCTAAATTATGGAGGCCTACATTAGAGTATAAAAGCTTTTGTTTGAGTAGAACTAAAATTGAATACATAGAATGTAATTTTAAGAGTAGTAGCTCTAGTGGGTGATCAAATCATTAAAATGTGTGAATGTTTTAGATATCTCGGGTTTATTGTTCAAAGTGATGGAAATATAGATGGTATGTTATTAGTAGAATTCAAGTTGGTCGGTTGAAGTGGAGGAATGCATTGGGCCTATTGTGAGATAGAAATGTACCTGTACCGCTTAGACTTGAAGGAAAATTTTATACGATGGTGGCGAGACCTGCAATGCTCTATGGCGCAAAATGTTGGCCTTTAAAAGAGAAGCATAAAATAAAGTTAGTTGTTGTTGAGATGAGAATGCTTATTTGGATGAGTGGCTTGACACTTAGAGAAAAATGCGAAATGAATATATCCATGATAGGGTTGGTGTAACTCTAGTGGCGAGCAAGATTAGAGAGAGTCATCTTAGATGGTTTGGTTTAGTCAAATTAAACATGGACCATCTAATGATCCGATCAGGAGAGTAGATGTTTTAGATTTGACTTATGCTAAGAAAGATGGAGTTAGGCCTAAAAAGGCTTTGGCATTTTGTATAAAAATGATCTTAATTTACTAGAATTAAATGAAATTATGACACTCAATACAACACAATAAAGAAAAAAGATTCTAGTAGCTTACCCCACTTGTTGGGATAAAGACTTGTTATTGTTGTTGCTGTTGGGTTTGGGTTGATCCGCCAACCTTAAATTGACTTGAAATTTTTCTGTAAACTCGGAATTGACTTGAAAATGATCCAATTCTAACTCACATTACAGTTATTCCTTATATTAAAGGGTTATGTGGGTCGGGTCCGGGTCGATACGTTGAATGTGCGTTGGGTTCAGGTTGGGATTTTTGACCTGTATAATATTCAGGTCGGGTTCGAATCATACCTATTCTGGTCGGGTCAATTTCAGATTAGACCCGAACCTTACCTGCTGACCCGAATCGACCCCCCTAATGCTTCCCAATCTATTAGTAAAGTTATATCTGCATTGATTGCTTCATGAAAATCTATTACATCACATGAAGCTTCAAAGGAGTTAGCCAATATATCAGAGATAATCGACGATGTTGAGTTTTACGACTTCGCTTTGGATTTCCTTAAGGAAAAAAATGAAAGAGAAATTTCACGTGCATTCCCAAGGATGAAAAATAGGGTGACTCAAAAGAAAATACTTGTAGATTTTAGACTAATTCGAAAGTGCAAATATGTATTTGCTCATTATACACGATATAATGTGGTTG